GTCGCTCGGAATCCTACTTCATCTTGTTTTTTTTAAATTTTTTATGTTCTTGTTTGTGTTGATTTTTTAATAATATTTCGTATTTTCATTGGTCCTTCGGAATCCTACTTCATTTTAAAAAATTTTTTATGTTCTTGTTTGTGTTGATTTTTTAAATAATATTTATAGTATTTCTTTAGTTGCAGTTGTGATACTTGTTGATTTTACACAAACAATAATTTTCTTTATTATTATTATCATTGTTATAACATTTATGAGAGACAGCGTTGAATAGACATGCTGAAGGAATATCAACTATACTGATGACAAGCAAAACTAATACTAGTCTTGACACAAGTCCTTGTTCAAGAATCTGTGAGCTAAGAGTGTCCATCTTCCCTGCTATTCCTGTTCTTCCAGGCTGTTGTCAAGTTCATAATTATCATTGCATATCATAAGTCATGACATTAATTAATTGTTTGTTTTTTAAAATAAAATAAAATAGCACATTTGATAAAACAGTAACATGTAAAATCAATACCTTCTTTTAGCTGGAAACCTCCACTAAAGTATTGCAGTAAGTTGATTCCAAGCATAGCTTGGTAAAAAAATAACTTGCTTCTTCCAGAGCTGCAGATCTGAGCATGCGCGACCACACCCAAATTTTGGAGCACATGGCAAGCTTCTTTAATTAATAATTAACAAAATGGCGGCATTTAGCTAAGATGGCTCAATCCAGCAGTCACAGTATCACTTTTTCCTTTCTTAAAGAATGATCTGATGGGACATGGACCTGCGCATAGACTGTTGGAGTAGATTGGTGCAATAATTATTGTTGTAGCACCAACTGATACTGAGATACACACCGACAACTGGATTGACAGGACTTGATGATGAAGATTATGATGATGATGATGATGATGATGATGAAGATGAAAAAAGGTGGCTGAACAAAAACGGCCGGTTCGCCGATTTTTGACTTTTCACTTAGACAAGGTCTAGAGTCACGCTAGTTGTACCATTGGAGTCCTCTGGTCAAGATAAGGTCCTCTATAAAGTCTGGTAAGCATAGGAGCTCGTTTTCCCGGTATAGCAAGGCTGCAAAAGTCGTGGCAGCCATTTTGTTTGGGGGTGAATCCTACTTAGTAACGCTACCGCGTTACTAATACTCTACTACTGGTAAGTGATTGTAAATACATGCCATATACAGTGGAGTATTGCCATACTTATCCTCTACATTAATATCATGATTGCATGATTCAACAAGGTACTTGACAACATGTTCTTGCCCAAATTCCGCTGCAAAATGAATACTTGTTCTACCCCTAGTATCTCTTGTATAATTAATTTGAGGAAGAGATGTCAAATACTCTACAATTGATAAGTGACCCCAACAACAAGAATAATGCAATGCAGTTACACCATTATAGTCACTAATATTAAAATCCACACCTCTTTCCACCAGACCCTGTACTAATAATAGGTTACCTAATTCACCTACAGCATTATGTAATGGAGTTGTATTGTTATTTTTAGTTAATGTTTCACAAAGGCAGTTGGGTTGATTAATAAGATATTTAGCTATTGATACACAACCATATTCAATAGCTCTGTGTAGAGGAGTGTAGCCATCACTATCTAAACTGTTTAAATCAAAGCCTAAACTAACAATAGTAGTGAAGTATTCTATATCCTCTGATGTAGCTGCTAAGTGAAGTACAGTTGTCCTTTCATCACGTAACTGAAAGTATTCATTATCCATTGGAAAGAGCCTTAGGAGGTGTTGAGTGTGTTCATGTTTATTACACGTATCCATCATATCTTTGAGTGATATTTTCATTAATAATAATTGAATAATTTGCCAACTAGCAGCATTGTTTATACACTTAATGATATTATCAATACTGAATTGATCATATTTTGAAATAGCTCGTGTCACTATATCAATATGACCTGCTTTACTAGCATAATACAATGGAGATAAACCAGCATTGTTAGTTAATTCAAATATATTATCTGTAGCCAAGACTG